TAGCCCCCAAATTGTTAACATGGAGGGTAGTTACGTAATTTCATAGGTTTGCGTTTTTGTCACTTCCCAAATAGTTTTGTTGTGTTTATAGCTGGCCATGGCTTTTTTCCTCTTGCTTCAAAACGTAGTTTTTTACTCTCTTCCCAAATGGCCACTAAGTGAGATGTTCATTTTTAATAATTGTATAGATATATGTACACATCACAATACCCAAGTAAAATATATGAGTAATGCTATGGTACACCCCTTAAAGGATATGGAACATATGAAAATTATGTTATTTATGAGTTTGATTATCACAAATAATATCACTCAATACTATGAGAGTCATAATTTAAATAAAAAAAAAGTTATAACCAAATATTACATGAGATACAATCAAATAACTCTTAAATTATAATTAATATCACAATATATTATAACTGACAATACAATAAATTATAATTAAAAACATAAAATTTATAACATATGGTACATATAAATTTTTTTGTTATTTTTAATTATTGTGGTCTATCTTAAGAAGATGGTTAAATATTGATTTTTTAATTTTTTTTAATTTAAAAAAAATATATATAAAAGATATAAAAGATGATATAGCCTCCGTTTGGCAAGAGTTAAACGGGGTTTTTTTGGCTATTTTAGTCACAAAAGACAAAATAGGCTATTTTAGCCACAAAAAACAAAATATTACATCCAACCCATAATCATTACATTCTTTTCTCACAAAAAAAGCCAAAAAAGCCAAAAAGTCAAAAAGCCCTTCCCAAACCAAACTTTTTAGCCCAGGCTAAAATAGCCAAAAAAGCCAAAAAGCCAAAAAGTCAACCCACTTCCCAAACGGAGGCATAATTTAAAATAAATTAAAAAGGGACTTTTGATCACCATCCACTTCTCAAAAAGTCCTATCCACGAGTAAAGTCAAGTTTGGTTATTCTAAATAAGTACACATTTTTTATCTTTTTATCTTTTTTTCATTACATCATCTCTCTATTTTTTTGTACATCTTTTCGTAAAAAGATAAAAAGTACGCTTATTTAAGTCATTCCAAACAATTTCTAATTTTTTTTTTTATATTTTAATAATTACCTGTTACTGTTTCTGTTGCTATGGGCCCTTGGGATCGATCATTGGTGGGGACTGCTGGAGAGTCGTGCCCTCCAAGTTTTAGGTGTAAACACCGAGAATTGTACGTGAAAAGGGCAAAAGCACCTATTACGATTATCATTAGAGTTTTAAGAATCTCTTCCGGTGAATAATGAAGTTTTGTGGAAAATACAAAAGTGGGTCCCATTGATATCTAAAGCTTTCAATTTCTCTCCTCCTATCTCGTCTTTTGGTGGTGGTGGTGGAGAGGAGGATTTGGATGAGAATCATCGTCCACCATTTTGATGTTGTCATCCTTTTTAATTGTACCCTGAAAAGCGAGAGTGAGGCAAAATGGAACTTTGAAGCACGTCTTTCACTACAAACTCTCATACATTGGTTTTGTTTGGTGGAACTGTTAAAATAAATTATAAATTATAACTTAACAGATTATAAATTATGATTTTAATTAGAAGTTATTAATCTATTTAGTATAGTTGTTGAATTATAGATTTAAATTACTATGTAATGTTTGTTAAATAAGCTGTGAAGTAACTTTTTTAATTAACTTTTATTTTTTATTATTCATTATTTGTCTACATTTCTCATAAAAAATAATAATAATATTTTATAGTCCATTTGTGTCTTTTTATATTTTTAAAAAAATAAAAAATAAAAAAATCTAAGAGTATAATCGTGAATTAATATGTCCACAGCAGAAACTGATAATCAGAAGTAAGGGGTGAGCAGTTTCTCAGAATCAGCTTTTTTCACTTAAAATAAGTTGTTAGAATCGGAAGCTGTTTGAAATAAGTTTAACCAAACAGTCCAAAATAAATTTTTAAAAGTCAGAAGCCATAAGTTGGCTAAAAAAAGCCCTACCAAACACCCCCATTGCTGGCCTATATTGACGGTGTTTGGGAAGAATTTTTTTTTTATTTTTTTTTATTAAAAGATAAATTGATTATAAAATTAAAAAAAAAATTTAAACAAAATATCACATCAAATTCTATAATCATTTTTTTTCTTCTCTCACAAACATCACATCCAATTATAAAAAAAAAACTAACTATCTTCTCAAACACAAAAAAAAATTTCTCCAATAATATCCTACAACTGAAAAAATTTATAAAAAAATCTACTTTCCAAACACCCACATTATCCTACCATCTATTATGACGGAGAAAAAAGGGCAAAAAGAAACTTGTTTTGAATGGGCTAAGGGTCACTGTTGTGCTCTTTGGCACAACAGTGATTATTATGTTTTAATTTAAGGTGTATTATGAATTTATTATTATGATCCAAACTGTTCATTTTGTAGGGTTTGTTGAGTACTTCGTACCTACCAAAAATTATATTAATCGGATATCAATAACTATATGATCGATAATCAAAAAATAAATAATAAATTTTTATTTTGAGAAATAGAATAAAAAATATTCAATTCGATCATATAGTTATTGATATCTGATTAATATGATTTTTGGTAGGCACGAAATACTCAATAAACTCTACAAAATGAACGGTTCAGGTCATAAAAATAAATTTATAATATACCTCAAATTGAGACACAACAATCACTGCTGTGCTTTTAGTAGAGTGACCCTTGACCCATTTTGAATAGCCTTATTATTGATAAGGGAACATTTATCAAGTTAAGAGAGAATTGGCTTATTTAGGCCTGGTTTGGTGAGTGGTTTTTTTAATTAAAAAGTCAAAAAATTATTAAAAAATTAAAAAGTCAACAATTTATATTAAAAAATATTTCATTTTCTCTCTACTTTTGCATATCTTTTCGTAAAAAATTAAAAAGTCATCTCATACATACTAGTTTTTTTTTACATCATATTTTAGCCAAAAAAGCTAAAAATTTACTAAAAAAATCTGTTCCCAAACGAGGCCTTAGTACAATTTATGACATTGCTTATAATTTTTTTTTTTTAAATTTTGGGTCAAAATATTTGGTATAAGTTTTGTTTATTATTAACTTAAATAAATTGATAAATTTAATTATTAAAGAATAAACAAAGAGATGCTTTTAGTGTATACTTTTTAATGATCAACTTTTAATTTCTAAAAAACCACAAAAAATATGTTTCTAAAAAAACAATGATAAGAAAGCAAGTCAATGACATTTTTTTCTTCACCCCATCTTGTTTTAAACTGCCCCATCCTAATTATGTTTAGGGTTTGGTTATGGTGTGCAACTTACACCTTACACTTTATACCTTACACTTACACCTTACACTTACACCTTTTATAAAAAATTAAACCTTACACTTACACCTTTTTTGAGGTTGCACACCATGTGCAACCCACTTACACCTTACACCTTACACTTACACCTTACACTTACACCTTATACTTATACTTAAACCTTACACTTATACTTTTTGTGTAAGTGGCACATGGTGTGCACTTGCACACTTAAGAAAACTCCTTATGTTTATTACAACTTTTGTATGTATAATATATAATTTAATTTTGTAAATATAGTAAATCTAAACATCAAAATTAACCCGGTCATTTCCAATTATATTTAGTACTGATATTTCTTAGGTTGCAAAATTAATCTGTCTTAGTCACCTCACTGATTTTCCCTAATATGATTTGGGCCTAAGGCAGGACACTACAAATCTATTCCCACCCCCGTCGATTTGCTTTTCCTTGATATGATTCAAGATAGGGTGAATACATCCCCATCTCTTGTCACCATCCCCGCTTGTGAGTGCCTTTGTTCTTTAGGCTAGATAAATTTTTACGTTGCTTTATTTGTGGAAAGTGGCCTTTTAATTGTATTTATAACTCCTTTCAAACATGTCTTGAGTTTTGATATATATTTCTTCTTCTTCTTTTTTTATTTAAAAAAAAAAAAACAAACAAACAAACTTAATGAAGAGCATACATCCACAACATTTCTTTTAATTATAAAAAGGCAAAAACCTAATCTCACACATTGAGTGATCTTTGGTGTCATCTTCCTTCAATAGAGTAATGGAGGTTTCCAACTGTAGCTCACTTTAGTATATCCTATATTCAAAAACATTATAACATATTATAATATAATAAATCATCTGATTTGCCTGAATAACAATGTCACAACTTTTAGGTTAGCAAGAATGAGAATTTGTCTCACTTTTGTTAACTTTTTAGCTCTCTTATTGTTTATCCTTTCATATGACTACTAAACTTTGTCTGTTGCATCTCACTGGTTCTAAATGCTACACTTTCAAAAGCTCAATTGAAGCAATCAACAAAGCTTTAACATTGTCATAAAGGTCAAAGGCTTGACCCCTCCACAAAAAAGGCTCCAAAAGGTTTCAACTCTATGCTCTAATACTCGCTCACCAATCAAAGTTGAGAGTGAGAAAGAGAGAGAGACCAATTCACAGGCTTACTAGTGTCAATTTTTTTTCCTTCTCAATTTTTCTGTGTATAAACAATTGTAGAACTTGAACCAATCAGCACATCTTTCTCCATCTCCCGTCACAAATAATCTCCCAATCGTATTGTTGTAATGTTAGATCTTGACAAGTATGAAACATTAACAACTCAATCACAAAATATAACTTTTGATATTTTTCGAATTTGGAGTGACGGTATTTTTTTTTATTTTTTGCACTTGTAACATGTTATCTCTTGATATTTTTGTAATCTCTTATAAACCTTCTAATCATAGTGAAATCACAACAATCATGGATGTAACTCTAATTTATGATGAATCACGTAAATTTTGTGTTCTTTGTGTGCATGTGATTTATCGTTCTTATGTGTATTGTTTTCCTTTGTATTTCGTGTCTCACCAATCTTGATGAAAGGTTATGAATTCTTACCAATTCACACAATCAAATCCAAAGAGTATCATTGTGTGATAAAAAGGTAGTTTGGAGCAAGAAAGAATGGGGACAAAATCAAAATACAAAGTACAATATCAGATTAGAAACATCGGATTGAACTAATGTTCACAACCCCCCATGTAAAATTCAGTTGGTTTTAGCTTCAATTGGAACATGAAATCAATTGTCCTAGAGGAAAATCAAACACTTTTAACAGAATGCTAGTATGCTACTGCTGGATTACTCCTTCAAGCAGTCAAAATACAAGAATCTATACAAAGTATACAATATTTACCCCCTTACTTTAAAAAGATGACTGTTATACCAACCCACAAGGTTATTTCCACAATGCATATACAAAATATTTTTTGTTTTTGTTTTTGTTTTTTCTGTTTTGAAAAGTTTCTACCTAAGTCCAGATCATTAGGCCAGGTCCCCCCCTTCCCCCAAAGCCCATGCTCCAAACAAAGCTACAACCGAGCTGAGCACCCAAAGGGGTGGCAGGAAGTATGTCTGTTATTGCTATTTTCTATACTTTTCACAGCAGAAATGCTAACCTTTCCATCGCTTAAAGCAACCAACAGAGGATTTAACCAAGGCAGCGTATCCTAAACAAGTAGTGGCGAAATATGCAATCTGCTCCCTATCGCAAAGTTTATCAGGACTGATGCTTGCAAAAAGTACGAGAGAATGATATTCCCAAGCCTGGCCCAATGGCCCATATCAAGCCCGATATTCATCAACCCATCCCTCGAACTTTCTCTTTCCATTCTTTCATCGAAAAATGGTGTGCACCAGACATCTAGGGTGTACAACAAGGTTCGTCAGGATACGAGTGAAGGACAAGGCATTCTTACGGGTGAGAACACCACAGTGAGTCGGGCATGATCTGAAAGAGAAAAGTCTTCGGGCCACGTTCCTTTCTCTACTTCAGTGGGGAAGAGAACTGCATTCTTCACACTGAAACCTATGGCTTGTCCCATGTTGTTGTCCACAACATTATCTTCCCAGACCTCATTACTTATTTCGTCTCTTTGGTCTGACCAAGTTGGATTCCAAATTCGCTGCTGTAACACAATTATTGAATAACATAAGCACCACATTTCATTTTTTTTTTTAATAGATAAATAAGGTCACATGTTAAAAAACTCAACAAATTTATTTCCATAACTAGGAAACATGAGTGAAGAAGCAATTCAGAAGTGGGAGAGGGCTTATGCCACATGTAGGGATGGCAACGGAAAGGTATGGGTCAGAAGACCCCTACACCTGACGCTACCCGTTAGACCTCTCCCCCATCCCCACCCCCACCCCACCCTGCCCTGTTTAGTTTAAAACATACATTATCAATAATGAATTCGTCATTGATCTGTAGTGGGATTGCAGAGCAAAGGGAGCGACAGAATATGTGCAGTATATATAGTACGTGGAATAGATTGAAGGGAAAAGACCCTAAAAAATCATTTTGTGTGATAAAAAATGAAAATATAATTGGGGCAGTAGGTTGGGGTTACTGTTACCTCACCCTTGGCCCTAACCTTATTCAGATTTTCATTTCTACCTCCGAACTTGACCCTACCCTACCATATTAAGAAACCCCCAAACCTGTTCCATTAGGGTCTGGGAGGGTTGGGTTTTTTTCCCCCCTATCCCTCGTCACATATAGATAAATGCAAAGTCAACAAAAATTTGATGAACATAAGTTACCTGAAATTTTTTATAATCAATCACACCGTTTCCATCAATGTCTGCTTGCACCCACAAGTCGTGTGCCCCTTCAACACTAAGTCCATGGGAATGGCCAATCAAATTAAGCTGAATCGGTTACAAGAAATTAGTAAGTTTAGCTTCTCTCTGGAAGAAAAATTATATAAAGAAAAAGAACATGTTGAATCATGGAATGATCATACCTGTCGTAGTGCTTCACAGAAACCAGCATAAGTAATGTAATCACCATTGCTATCAGCCTTCAGAAAGGCAAATGCATCATGCTCTGTCAGGGAGGCTCGCCGAAGTAGATACTGAAAGTGATGAAATTCATCAGTATTAGAGATAGCAAGCACAGATGATATTTTTGTTATTAACACCAAGAAAAATTGAAAGATTCAAGTAATTAATGGAAAACATATCTCTTCCAATTCTATACAATTTTCTGAGAATATGAGAGAACACAAAAAACTAATGTTACATGAGCATACAAATATCTATAGACACTCCTAGAGTCCTAACTTGATGATACTATTCTGTCGTTAGGAAGATTAGCAGGTGTCAATCTTTAACTGAAGAATTTGATTGTATGGGCCAATCTCATACCTCAGATACAACTCTTTCTTGCTTTCTAGAAAAAAAGTAATATTATGAAAAAAGGAGGTTTTGCAAATTTGGACATTATGTGAAGTGGAAAGAAGGGAAAATAAAGGGGAGAAATCCTCCAGGATTGTTGAATACTGAGACCATTCCCGCTTTTCCACGATTAACTAACTCCCTGATAACCCAATTCACCATTTATCATGCCTGTTCCAACAAAAGATCAATTTGGTGATGGTTTAGCATCCCATTGTAAAGGGTTTGCGAATTGGTAGGATTGATGAGAGTAATGGAATCACTTGTATGCCCGAGTGCCAAAAAATGGAAAGATTGAGCAGAATACTTAAATGCAGGACTTATTATTTATTATTTTTACTTTTTTAATTCAAAGCACAGGAAAGAAAAGAAGAATATTACAAACCCATGGACCAAAATAGTCTCTCTCCAACAGCAGATAACCCATGGTTTTAAAACGGTCTCCGGAGATGCATCGGCATTGGTCGCAGTGCAATAGTATCGGGACTATCAAAACAAGTGATATGTGTCAAGAATTGGGTGTCTAAATTGTGGATTTTTAATCATCAGCATCAGCCTCAAAAAAGAGGCTTATAGCAACCAAATAGGTCATATCAGCTGCTGTGAACCAGGGGATTGGCTGTTAATTAGCTGCTCATGAATCGGATGAGCCGATATGCATTGGGAAATAGTCAATAGCCATGTGATTTTCATTCCAACTAGAATACTGGGGTGTATCGGCATTGGAAGGACAAAAACCTGATATGTATCAGTCGATATTTAAAACCATGCTATGACTACGTGACTTTTAACTAGATTGGTGAGGCATAACTATATCCACAGCCATCTTTAATATAATTCATACTAACATTGAAATGTAGTCATTTGATAAACATACATAAATTTCTACCTCCATCATGAGCACGCACGAATGGACCCACAAGATCACATCTCAAAGAACTGGCAGTTTTCCTGCCAGCATTACCAAGAAATGAAACTATATGGGATGACCTCAGGTAGAAATGACAGCTTTTATTATTTCACTCAAGGCACAATTCTCTCTACTACAGTTACTCAACTTTTTGTGTTAAGAATTGCAAATAAAGATCTACCAAGAGAACCATGGATGCGAAGATAGTAAAGATCGGGTGCTCACCTTGAACATGCCAAATACTGCTTTGCTCCAACTTGTTTTTAGTAGTTTCCGATATCTATTAGGATTAAGAAGCCATATGAAATCTACACCACATATATTCCCCCGATGATTACGGTGGCTAATCCACTGCACGAAAATATAATAATCAGGAGAAATAAATTAAGCGTTGAATAATGTTATGCCGAAAGTGATTGAGATTATCAGTGCAGGTAGGTAATAACCACCTTCTGTGCATCTGCATCAGCGTACTGATGGGCTGTATCGTACGATGAAACAAATCCTTGAGATCTAAGGAACTTGTAAACATGGCCTCGCTTGCTCCCATTCCAATCACTGACCATGTAAAAAAAAGCACAATAATGAAAATAAGTGATTATTTTTCAATTTTGAATTTTGGCAGAGACTTGTCAAGGTATGAGGTAAGAAATAGTACACTTACCCGCATAGTATGATGGGCAAAGGATTAAGCTTCTTTTCTTTCTGATAAGATTCCACATACTGCAAGATTTTGTAGACCTATCGCAAGACATATGAAAATTGAAACACAAATCATGATTGAAACAAATAGATAATGACTAGGACGAAATATTAATGAACACTAACAGAAGAGCTAATTGAAGAAATTAAACTACCTGATCCAATCGTATAATGCACAAAGTTGAATCATGTGGAAATAATAGGTGGGTATTCACAATGAGGATTTCTTGTCGAACATTGTTGCTTTGACATTGTGAAAAGGGTGCAACCAAATCAACATGTAATAGCTGGGCAACGCGGTCTCCAATATCATTGAATAGCAACTCTCGATGGTTTAAAACTCTAAAGTAGTCTTTATGCACGGAAGTCAGCAGACCTGTTAAATTCCAACAAGAACATCTTAGGCAAATGAAAACAAAAAAATGTCATGTCTACTAAAAAATAGATTATATAACTGATCAAGCAGGCTGAAACATAAATGAAAACCCTGAAATTTATTGAAATAGCAAAACAGAATTCAAGATTCTTGAATTTGTTAATATATAATGACCCTGCACGGGTAAAATTTTCTAAACTGAATAGAGGTTCAGTCCATACAAACAGAGCCAGAGAGAGGTGGCCCCAAAAAGATTCATATTTAAATATATTTCCATTGTAAATCCATGAAACATAATATTTTATGCACCAACATCTCTCGAAAAAATATATTTCCATTGATAATTCTTGCTCTGCCACTCCATAAACCCTCCTAAAATACCATGTCTTTGTTGTTCTTTTCCCCGCACAAAAATCATGCTTTGTGGCAACTTCTAATGAACAAATTTGATTTAAATAGGATTTCCACAAACAACAAAATCAAGAGACACATTTCGACCAATATTATACATGCATCCGGTAAGCAACTTTGCAAATCCAAAAGAAAGCATGCTACAGCCAATTCATTATGGTTCATTCCTATACATATTTCTTTAGATTCTAAATCAAAATGTAAAATTTGTAACCAATCAGATAGATTCAATAAAATTGAATTTTATGAAAAAAGATAAAAGAACATACCATCGCCGCGGTTGTTGGTGCGTGCGAGCTTGAAATTGATATAACCAGCATCCCCAAGTCTCCTTTCATACATGTTAACAAGCTCTTCGTTTCCAACCCAAAACTCCTGTCAAAACCCACATCACAATTTCACATTCTAGTAACCAAAACGATTAAAATTTTTGAAAACCATCCATCAACAATCAACAAAAAAGCAAAAGCAAACCTGAAGACAAATAATTGAAGATCGTTCGCACAACAACCAATCCAATATTCTTTGGTTCCTGTTCAGCCAATATGCTCTGAAATCACTTTCTCGGCAGCTCTGGTCCTGTTCTTTCCACACACACACACACACACACACACACCCAAAAAAAAAAAAACATCATGATTAGAAATCTAATGACAATGGCGAATTAAAAGATTGAAAATAACAAAAAAAATTACATCTTTATCGAGTCTGTTGTAAATGGGGGCGAGAATATTGAAGGTGGTACAAGAAATCGAAGATGGGTCGGCAATTGAGGAAGCAATCGCATAACTTCCTATTTTTGATAGCCTACCCTTCATTATCCCCCTATTCTTCTACCCATTTCAATAGATGGCAATATATATGTATGTATATATATATATATGCAGAAACAGAGATGATTTGGTGAAATGACAAAGAGAGAAGGGAATCAAAGAATCCGAGGATTGTTGGTTGGTGGGTTGGTTACCGGTAGAAAAAGATGAACACAAGGAACAACAATGTCTTATTCTCTGATATAATACCACGAATGGAGACGAATCTTTGAGAGACAGAAGGTTAAGAGAGGGAGGGCCA